AAACTCTAGATAAAATTCTGGTTTTATCTAGAAACTCTAGACAAACTCTAGAAACTGGAAACTCTAGATAAACTGCTTGTGGAGGAAAATCACCTACCAGAGAAAATGTTCAATATGGATGAAAACTCCCTTTTCTGGAAACAGATGCCTGAAAGGACTTCCATCCAAAAGGAGGCCAAGTCAATGCCAGGTTTCAAGGCTTTTGTTGTGTGTGTGTGTGTGAGGAAGATCAGCCCCGAGCTAACATCCATGCTAATCCTCCTCTTTTTGCTGAGGAAGACTGGCTCTGAGCTAACATCCATTGCCAATCCTCCTCCTTTGTTTTTCCCCACAGCCCTCGTAGATAGTTGTATGTCATAGTTGCACATCCTTCTAGTTGCTGTATGTGGAACGCGGCCTCAGCATGGCCAGAGAAGCGGTGCATCGGTGCGTGTCCGGGATCTGAACCTGGGCCGCCAGTAGCGGAGCGCACACACCCAACTGCTAAGCCATGGGGCCGGCCGGGTTTCAAGGCTTTTAAGGGCAGGATAACAGTTTTGCTTGGGGGCAATGTTGCAGGCTACAAATTGAAATCGTTTGTGATCTGGCACAGTGAGAAACCCGGGGCCTTCAAGCATATCAGTAAGCACACCCTGCCAATGTACTACAGGAGCAATAAGAAGTCATGGATGACCTAGCTCCTCTTCCAAGATGTCCTCCTGAATTGCTCTGCCAGCAACATGGAGAAGCACTGTTTGGAGAATAACTTACCTTTCAAGATTTTTGCTTACTGCTGATAATGCTCCTGGACAGCTTTCTTTTTTTGGTGATCTTCATCCCAATATTAAAGCAGTATTTCTTTCTCTCAATACTACCTCTTTGATCCAATCAATGGATCAAGGAGTTACAGCAGCTTTTAAGGCATGCTTCTGAGGAGGACCTTCCCCAGGCTATTGCTGCAACTGAGGAAGACACTGAGAAGACACTGATGCAATTCTGGAAGGATCACAACATCTATGACTACATCAAGAACCTTGCTTGGGCTTGGGGTGATGTCACCAAGGTGTGTATGAATGGCATCTGGACAAAGACACTCAAGAGGTTTGTCCACGACTTCAAAGGATTGCCAAGGTTGAAGAGGTTGCAAAAATCAACAGGGCTGTGGTTGAGATGGCAAACAACTTGAACCTAGGTGTGCATGAGGGTGACATTGAGGAGCTCCTAGAGGTGGTTCCTGAGGAATTGACTGATGAGGAGTTGTTGGAACTGGAACAGGAACACATAGCTGAAGAAGAGGCAGAGAAAAGGAAATTACAGGAGAAGACAAAGAAGAACTGCCAAGAAAATTCACAGTGAAGGGTGTAGCAGAAGCTTTTGCAGACCTCAACAAGCTCCTTAAGAAGTTTGAAACATGTACCTTTAACACCAAAAGGTTTTCATTAATAGAGAAGAATGTCCATGGTACATAATCTGCTTACAAACAACTCTGTGATGAAAAAAAGAAACAAACTAAGCAAACCACCATGGACATATTTCTGAAAAGAGTGACACCTCCTCAAGAAGAGCCTCAGGCAGGTCCTTCAGTGATATTCCAGAAGAAGGCGTTGTTATCATAGGAGATGACAGGTCCATGTGTGTTTTTGCCCCTAAAGACCTTCCAGTGGGACGAGATGTGGAGGAGGAAGACAGTAATATTGATGATCTCAACCCTGTGTAGGCCTAGGCTAATGTGTGTGTTTGTGTCTTAATTTTTAACAAAAAAGTTTAAGAAGTAAAACAAACAAAAAAATTTAATAGAAAAAAGCTTATATCTTAAGGATATAAAGAAAGAAAATATTTTTGTACAGCTGTACAATGTGTTTTTGTTTCAAGCTGTGTCATTACAAAACAGCCAAAAAGTTAAAAAAATTAAAAAGTTTTTAAAGTAAGCAAGTTACAGTAAGCTAAGGTTAATTTATTATTGAAGAAAGAAAACTTAAAAAAAAATTTAGTATAGCCTAAGTGTACAGTGTTTGTAAAGTCTGCAGTAGTGTACAGTAGTGTCCAGGGCCTTCACACTCACTCACCACTCACTCACTGCCTCACCCAGAGCAGCTTCCAGTCCTGCAAGCTCTACTCAGGGTAAGTGCCCTATACAGGTGAACCATTTTTATGTTTTATACATATTTTTACTGTACCTTTTCTACGTTTAGATATGGTTAGATACACAAATACCATTGTGTTACAATTGCCTACAATATTCAGTACAGTAATGTACTATTCACATTTGCAGCCTAGGACCATACTATATAGCCTGGGTGTGCGTAGTAGGCTATACCATCTAGATTTGCGTATGTACATTCTGTGATGCTTGCACAAGGATGAAATTGCCTAATGACACATTTCTCAGAAGGTATCCCCATCATTAAGAGATGCATGACTATAGATGTGTTGAGGGAAAGAGATTAACAAAGGAACCTAGAGGGGCCAGCCTGGTGCTGTAGCAGTTAAGTGCACGCGCTCCGCTTTGGCGGCCCGGGGATCGCAGGTTCGGATCCCAGGCACGCACCAATGCACCACTTGTCAAGCCATGCTGTGGTGGCGTCCCACATAAATTAGAGGAAGATGGGCACAGATGTTAGCCCAGGGCCAGTCTTCCTCAGCAAAAAGAGGAGGATTGGCAACAGATGTTAGCTCAGGGCTAATCTTCCTCACCAAAAAAAACACACAAAAAACAAAGGAACCTAGAAAGGTAGAAAATATGCTGTGGTAGCCAGCCTCCAAGATAACCTAGAACGATCCTCCTATCTTGGTGTTCCCCTCCTACACTGAATCAAGGCTGATTTGTGTGAATAGATTACTACAGAAGTGACAGTGTAGGACTTTTGAGGTTAGATAATAAAAGACATTGCACCTCTGCCTTCGCCCCTTAGATCCCTTCCTTTCGGGAAAGCCAGCCACCATGGATGCAACGACACCTGACGATAGACCTATGTGAAGAGAAACTGAGGTGTCCTACCAATAGCCAGCAGCAACTTGCCTTCCATGTGAGTGAGCCACCTTGGAAGCAGATCTGGTAGCCTAAGTCAAGCCTTCAGATGACTGTAGTCACAGCTGCCATCTGACTGAACCTCATGGGACTCTTTATGCTAGAACAGTCTAGCCACAGAAACTATGAGAGATAATAAATGCTTATTGTTGTTTGAGCCACAAAGTTTTGGGATAATTTGTTTTAAAGAAATAGATAACTCATATACACACTACCATTTAAATATTGCTTTTCAGAAAGGATGTCTGTTCTCTTTCTAATTACCAGCTCCTTATTTCTCGAGATATACTTCCACCTTCCTTTCTTTTTTTTTTTTTAAAGATTTTATTTATTTATTTTTCCCCCAAAGCCCCAGTACATAGTTGTCTGTCATAGCTGCACATCCTTCTAGTTGCTGTATGTGGGACGCGGCCTCAGCATGGCTGGAGGAGCGGTGCCTCGGTGCGCACCCGGGATCCGAACCCGGGCCGCCGGCAGCGGAGCGCACGCACTTAACCGCTAAGCCACGGGGCCGGTCCCCACCTTCCTTTCTTATCACTGGTTCTTTTCAAAAGAATTCCTCCATCTTTTAACTTCTCTACAAAGCTGTTTTTTAGAGGAGTGTGGTGAAACATTTTCTTTTCCCTCCCAATGGGCCTCCCCATTTCTTTTTCAAATTCTTCTACCGTATTGAAAACATAAGCCAAACAATATGGGACTCCTAAAGTTTGGGCCAAGGTTCTTCAACCTGTTGAACCAAAGAAAAAGGCAGTAGAAAGAGAAAGGTTTAACATGTAATTCTCTTTTCTCTTTTTCCCTGATTGTACTAGGTAATTCTGCAGATAAAAGGAAAATAACATATATTACTATGATCAAACAGTTTAGCTCAACAATTCTAACTTTTCACCCAGCAGGAGGCAACCTTCAATGACTCCTCAGTGCCTACAGGATCAAGTTCAAACATCTTGCCCTAGATGATTCAGCCTCTACCCTCTTTTTACCATATTTTCCATTGCTCTCCTCTACATACTCATTGTTTCAGTCAAATTAAACTATATGATGTTTCTAATTCACGGCTTTTGCATCCTAGCTATTAGGTGCATGTAAAAACAAAACACAACAAAAACAGGGTCTGTGATCAAAAGAATTTGGGAAATACTGTATGTTGTAGATTCCTTGGGGAGATTTACAATGCATATTAGTATATTAAAAGCTCTGAGAAGTCCTACAGTAAAGAAATCTGTTCAACTCAAACAAAACTTTGTTCAACTCAACAAGACTTAGTTGACCATCTTATGAGTCAGGATCCAGAACAGAAAACAGCACCTATGCTGGGGAGTTCAGCACAGGGAATCTAACATGAGAAACTAGTTTAAAATTTTTTGGAGGAATTCAGAGGGTCATTGGGAGGATGGTGGGATATCCCAGAGATGAGCAACATGAGGGAGATGCTACCCTTAGGGCTGGATGGACTAAAGGAAGAGGTGGTGTTGCCCAGATGTGGTAAAAGATTTTTTGGCAGATTCTCTAGCCTCAAATAAGCCTTGAGATAACTGCAGCCCTGGATGACATCTTGACTGCATCCTCATGAGAAACCTTGAGCCAGAACCACGTAGCTAAGCCAGATTCTAGATTCCTGATCCTCAGAAATTCTATAAGATAATAAATATTTGTAGTTTTAAACTGCTAAGTTTTTGGGCTGGCTGAGTGGCATAGCGGTTAAGGTCGCGTGCTCTACTTCGGTGGCCCGGGGTTCGCCGGTTCAGCTCCTGCATGCAGACCTACTCACCGCTCATCAAGCCATGCCGAGGTGGTGTCCCACATAGAAGAACTAGAAGGACCTACATCTAGGATATACAACTATGTACTGGGGCTCTGGGGAGAAAAAAGAAGAAAAAAGAGGAAGATAGGCAACAGATGTTAGCTCAGGACCAATCTTCTTCAAAAATAAATAAATAAATAAACTGCTAACTTTCAGAATAATATGTTACATGGAAATAGATAACTAATATAGATGTTGGTACCTGGAAGTGGGATTCTGCTGTAACAAAATCCTAAAATGCAGAAGTGACTTTGGAACTGGGCAGCGGGCTTTGGGGAGAATTAGTGAAAGTCTAAAGTACCTTAACAAAACAGTCAATAGAAGTATCTTGATCTTTGATATGGCTGCAGGTGAAGGCTTGCAAGAAAATGAGGTAATGTTATGAAACCAGAGAAAAGGAGATACTTATTATACTGTCTAGTGGCAGAAAGTTCAGCAACACTGTTGCCTGCAGTAACTGAAAGGTAGAAAATGTGTCTAATGAACTGGGTGACCTAGCTAGAGATATTTCCAAGCAAATGTTTCTTCTTGCTGCTTACAGTAAAATGTAAGAGGAGAGAGATAAACTAAATGAAGAACTTTTAAACAAAAAGGGGACAGAATTTCCTGGTTTTGAGAATTCTTAGCCTCTCCAAATGGCAAAAAATGTTAAAATTAAGATATAGCTTCTGAGCAAAGATTGAATCCAGGGCACTGTCAGTAAAACATGGTTCAAAGAAAAAGTCAAGGGTGTGACTATAAAATTTTTTGTTAAAATCTCACAAAGATTTAAGGTTGTGCTTCAGAGTACTATTCAGTCAGACAAAAGGTCCTCTAAGGACATTAAAGGTATGTTTCACGTAGTCTCTCAATAAAATGATGAAGTGTCTGGGAAGCTTAAAGTCATTGTCCCTCAGCCATCTCATTGGAAGCCCAAGGTAGAGAAGAGCTTATCTGAAAGATATTTGTAGGTGTGGCTTTGTCTAATGGGGTGGACCGCAATAAGATTCACAGAAGACTCATAAGAGTTTTTCAAGAAGTATGTATGCAGAAACATTGTCACCTTGGACCAAAAGGGATAGAGATAGTACAAAATAAAAGGAGGCCTTTGGACTCTCAAAGTTCTATTGGTGAGAAGCAGGCTGAGAAAATTCCACAGCTGTAAACATGGGAACTGTGTGACATCATAAAATGTTTGTTGCTTTAAGCTGTGAAATTTTGAGGTAATTTATTATGCAGCAATAGATAACAAACACACCAGCCTGAGATCTAGGACGGCCCAGCAGAAGCTGGGACCACAGAGAGAGGGGCTGTCCATCTGCACATGAAGCCATAAAGAAGATGCAGCCACTACTGGAGACACTGCCTGAAGCAGAGAGAGAAGGAAAGACCTAGCCTCTTCATGGCCCCTCATCTGCCCTTGCCTCCACTGGCCAAATCAAACCACAAGGAAATCAAGGGAGCCTGAGAAATGTCATTTGCAAGGAGCAACCTCTCGCAATACAAAACAGGCAGAGGGAGAGAAGGAAATTAATCTGAGAACAAATAGGCAAATTACCACCACAATCAGGAACTCTTTTTACATGGAATTCCCAATAATATTCTTCAGAACCTTGTCCTCAAACTCCGTTTTGGGAAACAATGGCCTTGACTTGCTCTTCCCCAGATCTCTGCGAGTCCAAATCTCATCCATCAATTATTATCCACTTTAAATACAAAGTTTTTCTCCACTAACCTTTTGTTTCCCATTACCTGGGGTAGCCCCAGGTTCTCTCAGTTCTACAGCATTTGATCTACAATCATTTTAGGCATTTTCAAACTCAATTTATAGTTATTTAGTGCATGTTTTATTGTCTGAGAATTAATAAGCTTCTTGAGAGTCAGATCTATTTCTGATGCACTGTTGCATATTGCCCCATAATCTAACACCTAGCACAGAACCTTGCTCAGAGTAAATATCAATAGGTGTTAAGTGAATGAATGAATGAGTATCAAAACTAGTAGTAGAAATGGCATAAAACTCTGTTACCTTTGTCTATATTACTATTAAATCCTTTATATACTCTTGGTAGAACCAAGAGATTCTAGAATAATCTTTCTATTTTCTTGGCTGGTCACATCTTTTGAACTCCTTTGAACCTTTTCTTGGAGGAAGAGAACAATAAAATTGCAAACCGGTTTGTATCTGGGTGGGAATAATTATCCTGTGAGACCAAAGTCCTGCCTGGAACTTGTTAGCAGAAGTAGGTTCAGAGAACTGCACTTGTCTCCTCTCTCAACTTTGGCTACTCTGAGAAAAATCATCTGTTCTGTAAGAAAAGAATGTTCAGCATTTTGCAAAAGTGATTCCCTCTACTTCCCTATCTTCCTTGCTGATGCCTTGAGAGAGGGAATAAATGCAAAACAGAAAGGATGTTTTTAGATAAGTTCCTCTTCATTAGTTCAGGCTTCTTCACTTCCTGCCTGGATTACCACAATGCCCCCAACAAGTCTCCTGGCGTCTTGTTTCTAAAAACATATCTTAGCTCGGCACTCTCCTTTTTAAAGTTTTTCAGTGGTTACTCACTCTCTTCCGGATGGAATCCAAACTCTTCATGATTTGGCCTTGGGATACTTCTTTGGCCAAATCCTTTCTTACCGACATTACGCTTTCCAGTCCTCCCCCCCCCCCCCCCCCCGCTTCCTTCTGCCTCTCTCCCTTCCCTCTCACCTGAATCTCCTCCTAGCTCAACTCAACTCCTCCTTCAAGATTTAGTTTCAGCTGTCCCTCTGGGAGGTTTCTCTTGAGCCCCTCAGGATAGAGTAGGCTCCCTTAGCATACTTTACAGACCACTTTGGCCTTGGGCAAGTTGCTCTCTATACCTCAGTATCCCAATCTAGAAAATTGGGACAATGTAGTACTTACCTCAGAAGCTCGTGGCAAGGATAATAGATAATTAACGCAAAATACTTAGCACAGTGCCTGACACGTATATTAAGTGTTACCTATTAGATGTTAAATCATAGCAATTATTTAATCCAATCTCTTCATCGTATTTGAGAAACCGAAGATCCAGAGCAGTCAAACAATGGGCTCAAGTAGAATAAAGATAGGGGGAGGGGGATATCTGATTTGCTTATGATATTCAAATTTACAAACCAAATTTCAAAGTGAGGAATCAAGGAGGAACTGACTTCAAATCTAATATTAAAATAAAATGTTTATCAAGAACTAAACTTGGGGTTGAGAGGAGATGCCACACTACTAAGAAAAATGGCAAGCCAGGGCAACTGTCAAGACAATTCAGGATATTTGACGCCTAGAACTGAAATGTTTTCTTAATTGTCGCAGCTTGCTAATTTACTTTTTCTGTTTATTTCTATATTCAACGAAGTAGTGTCTATGCATTCACTAAATAAAATGGTTTGTAACTCCTCGGCCTTTTTTTTTTTTTTCTATTGAATTAAGTACAACATTAAACCATTAACATGACCTTTGGAAAATCAATATTGTCCCCGGGCTCAAGACCACTCACTCCACAGCTTAATTTGTCCTTAGCTTTCAGCTTTAGATTCTAGACTTGTATTATCCGACACAGTAGCTACTAGCCACATGTAGCTTTTGGGCACTTGAAATATGACTAGTCCAAATTGAAACGTGCTATATGTGAAAATACACACAGATTTTAAAGGTTTGGTAAAAAAAAAAAAGCAAACTATCTCAATAATTTTTTATATTGACTACCTGTGAAATAATATTTCTGTTACATTGGGATAAATATAATATATAATTAAAAATATTTTCACCTATTTCTTTTTATCTTTTTTAATGTGGCTACTGAAAAAAATTTAGTTATTTCTACTACACAGTGCTGTTCCAGATCCTGGGATTTTTCAGAATCAGGTGGGGAGCCTTAGTTCTAAGGTTAGACATTGCCCTTTCCTGGACTTGCTCTGTCTCAAGTGATGTAACTCTGTCACCCTTTCTGGAGGCCAGGTGCCTCCACTATCCCTTTCAGAATGGCGCCCTTAAAAGGCTGAAGGAGTTAAAGAAACAGTTTTAAATGTAGATCATTGAGCGAATCCACATTTCAAAATGTTGAAGACAATAGGTGATTATTGACCCAAGGCAACATCTAAGATTCACCTTAACATTCCTGATTGGCTCTCTTATTTACTTGGATCATCTCTTAATTGTCACAACAACTCTAACATTTAGGTGCTATTATTACATACACATTTTACAAATGAGTAAATGGAAGTTAGGGAGCTAGCAGGCGTGGTGTGGAGTTTTGACCCCAGCTGGTCCAACTGTCCAAGTGCCATATCTAGCAAGACAAGGAGCTCCTCATATATCCTGTGCTTTGTGCATACATGACGTGACACATACTAGATGGTCAGTAAGCATGTGTAGTAAAATGTATATGTAGTATGACTTCAACCATGTAGAAAAAAATATATATATATGGAAAAGTCTGGAAGGAAATACATTAAAATGTTAAAAGATGGTTAATTATGAGTGGTAATGTTATGGGCATTTTTTGATTATGTATTTTATTTTTCATCTTTATACTTTTCCGTATCTTCCAAACTTTTGACAATGTGCATATACAGTTTTTTATTTATTTCCATTACTCTTTAAATCACACAAAATGTCATTTTAAGAGAATGTAGTTGGTTACTGACATGTTCTGTGTGTGCTGATATTGCTCTTTGCTTTTCTCCCCATGATGTTTCCATTCCCCTCACAGTTGGTGTCCCTCTTCTCCACTTGCACTTCTCCATTCTCTCTCTCAATCTCTCTTCTGCTTTTTCGTCTCTCTCTCTCTCTCCCCCCCTCCCTCTCCCTCTGTCTCTCTCTGTCCTGCTCCTTTCCGTGATCCTTTCTCAGACTTTTTCCTCTGGGTCTTCCTCCCTTCTTGTTTCCTATCTCTCCCTTCTTTTTGAGAAGATTGACATTCAAATGAAAGGTCAATCAAATGTTACTCTGCTCTTCGTGGTTTTCTGGCAGATTCTATCTGTCTCTGGAGTCCTGAGACAGGTGCTCAAGTTGGGGGCAGGGTAATGGACGGCAAGACTTCTAAAGAGGATGGCTACATTTTGGATAAAATAAGAGGTGGTAGATAGAGTACATATCAGAGTGACAAAAGTAGTGGGCACAAAGGTCTGAGGATTCTTTCAGGGAAAGAGAGATGAGCAGAGGGGCTCTTACCTTATTGGGTCTGGGGATTGCTGTCTCCTGGTGCTGGCACTCAGTTAGAAAGGATGTGGACCTTAGTTGATTTGAGCTCCTGAATTGAATTAGTCCTGGTT